GATGTTATTAGCCTCATCGAGCCAATCGCTTTCTTCTCTCCTTTTTCTTTGTTTTTGATTGTTTGCTTGGAACTCTATAAACAGAACAGTAAAAAGTCAATTATGCCCATTTGCAAATCAAACCTAAGCAATTCTTAGCTAAGAAACTCTTAATTTTTAGGAGTCTTATTAAGTAGTGGCTTGCACCGCTGTATTTCATTTCAATCTTACGGATTTTCATTTTTTGTTTTAAACTGATTACGAAAGAGGAACAATCACTAGTCCGAAAAAGTAGCAAAATAAGCGTTCGGCATTTAATGTTTTATGTAAAACCGGTAAACCAATATTTTGACACAAATCAAGAAGGCAATTAAAGATAAAGGACTATACTATATTGTAGCACATGTTTAGACAACTTCTTTATTTTTAGGATTTTGATGGGCAAACATCAACAAAATATTTCTTATGTTTGGACTAACTTTTCTCGAAAATAAAGATATAATTTAAAATTCCGTTACAATACGGAAATAGATTGAAGTTTTGTGATTACAGTGATATATAATTTATATGGTTTTGTAACTGCTCGTTATTTTATGACAAATGGTGAAGCTCTGCAAACCTTAATTAAGCCTTAATTAAAGCACGTGTGTTTGGAATTTTAGGTGTGGCTTATCACGACAGGATCGGGCTAAGCCTTAGGCAGATTTCTGAAATATAATATATATTTCCTTCGCCCACATACCCGCTTTACCCGTCCCCTGAGAGCAACCCGAAAGTACAGCGTAACAGACTCTTAAGTTAAGTAATACGTCTATGAATATTAAAGCAAATACTAATAAAATAGAAAGAGATAAAAATGTCTATGTTACGGTTAAGGTCCGATGCCCGGTTAATGTCGACATTACCCGGTTAATCTCGAGAATAACACACAACAAAACAACCAAAAACATAACCAAACCCAAACATTAACCGGACATCGGACTTTAACCGTAACATCTGTAGTTCTGTGACGGATTCATATCATCAAAAAAGTCCTATGGGTATTTTGCCACTTGCACTGTACGTTCGACGGTTTTTTATAGACGTATCTGTTGAAAAAAAACCTGAAGTGTTCTTTAATACTTGTAGTTAGATATTTTAATCTCAGTGAGTGGCACTCGCCATAGTTTCACAGATATGTATTTAGGAAAATATGAGTTCACAATAAAATAAAATAAAAAAAATTGATCATCGAGTAAAAATTTGCTTGAAAACAGAATATTTTCACATTTTGTGTAACAATTCTTCTGTATTTGAAAATCTACTGATGGGAAAAAATGCGGAAAAAATATATGACATATTTTTATATTATTATCTATTTCAAAAATTTTCTACAACTTTTTTTTTTATTTAAAACAAGTTTCATTTTAACATTAATGTGTTTGTTTTGTAGTAATATATTGGTTAGGTGATTTTCATTGGATAACTAATACATTGAACAACACATTGTACTAAATAATAAAATAACATATTTAAACTTGCTCATAAACATTAGAGAAATTTCAAAAGAGAAAAGAAGCAAGAACAATGAGAAATAGCATCACTACTTTTTCACGTAATAAAAGAATAATTTTTTAGTTATTGTGACCGAGTCCCGAAGGTACCGAAAGAACCGGGGATTAATAATTTCGAGTCCTGGTTCTGTGATATCTCAAAAGAATCGGGAATTTCCGGTTCTGAGCCCTAGTCACCGTATTAAAAAAAATGCACAGAAAAATCATCATATTTCCGGCGCCAAAATATACTACCCATAAAAATATTTGCACTAATGTAAGACTCACCCTGTATGGGGCGATTCACGGTTATGGTACGTTATAGCGTTTCCGGAACCGAAGCTGTTTTTCGGAACCGGTAGTTTCGGTACCATGCCTCTAAGGAACCGGGATTTCCAGTTTTTTTCGGTACTTTCGGTACTAGCAAATTTTTGTTCAACGATGGTGCGGTTCGTTAAACAGCAAGCAAGGGATGGTTGTCAAAAGTAAAATCGATAAAAAATTGAGGTTTAAATGAAAATAATATCAAATTATTAAGTAGTAATCAGTCACGAGAAAATTAACCTAAACACAAACAATGATCACAAATGACTCTCAAAAAAAAATTCAAAGCACAATTTTTTGAATTATTACTACAACCACCTTACAACGTAAGGCACTCATTTTTTGTCAATCCGTCTCTGTGCTGGGACGCAACGCTCGAACCTCGCAGGTCTACGGACGGAACTTTATCAATAAACTTTGTAGATTTTCAGATTATTTAATTCCTTTTGTTTCCGTTTGTAATTTTATTTTTAAGACATATTATGTGATTGTTTCACATAATATGTTTTAAAAATGAAATTGCAAATAGCGAATAAAAATAATTAAAATAAAAAAGTGTATTTTGCAATTCCCCCGGCCCCGCACCCCTTTGGCTAACCTGTAAATGTCAGCTATGTCGAGAGATGGCGTTACGAAAATGGAAGCGGTTTATTATAAGGAACTTGGGCTTCTTTTTCGTTAGTATATTCTGTGGACGGAACTCAACTGAAACGCTCTGCAATCTGCAATCTGTCGATATTCGACAGATTGTAAAAACTGGCAGAAAATATTTGGTAGAGCGCAACTACTCTTTTCCTTCTACTATGGTTTAACGCAGCGCACAGTGCTTCGTCCCATGGACAAAAATCGAAAAAAAAGTTAAAGTTTACTAATATCTGAATATGTAATTTTATACTTATACCATAGCAATGTTCAACCATCCTGTATATTATTTTTCATAAACAGCGTTTTTTGTTAGCAAATATTTTCACTAAAAATAAATTTTGCGATCATTATCTTATCAGTGAAAAGAATAACATTCATAGTAGTTCTGTACAGTACGTCTGCTGGATCTGTGTCTATGAAAGGAATGCGGACAAAAAACATTTAAATAAACAACAATATATTTTATACGTCGACTTGACTAGTACGTCACCGCAAATCGCTCCTCCCACTCATTTTATTGGCCACTTGCAAATTTGTCGAATTTTTATTGATGGGACGCGCCGTCTATTTTTTTTTCGAAAAACAGAGAGAATATCGTTGCCCCTCTCACCGATACCCCGTAGCTATAGAATGGACAGACGTACTGCATATGATGGAGTTAAACGGTACGTACTTAATTGAAAGCCACTATGGATATTGTTAAACAAGGTATGTACTTTAAATTTATTTCTAAACAAGTTCGTGACTGTTTAGTTTTTATTTACTTTTGAAGATAATTCTTAAATGGTTATAAAAATTTTACGTTTTCAAACTTCAAAAAGGCATTTAAAAAAACATATCAAAATATATCGTATCTATTGACATTGGCGTAACTACAGGGGCGCCCGGGGGTGCCGGGCCCCACCCCCAGCTACTGCTGGGCACCCCCCAGAGGAATACTGAGTTATGACTCTGGGCTACGTATTAATTTTTATTTGCTTGTGATGCAGTAAAAATGACGTTTTTTAGTTTTCTTTAGTTAATATTATTTTGTTATGTTCAAAAAATGTGTTAATTTTTATTTATTTTAAAAATTTGTAGGTATTTAAGTAATCTACGGGAACACGGTTTGATAACCAAGTCTATGAAATTTATTGATAGAGAAATTTATGTAAACGTTTTAATCAAAAAATGTGTTTTTTTAGATTATTTTTCGTTTTTAAAAAAACAAAAGCTCTAGGCTCCCCCCCCGGGCTCAACCCCAGAGCCCCCCAGGCACTCCCCAGGATAAATTGCTAGTTACGCTAATGTCTATTGAATATTTTTGTTGTCATATTAATACACTTAATTTTTGTATAGTTCACCTGCGTCTGCTTGCGACGAACTTTATGTTATAATACTTTTCAGATGGAGTAAAATTAATAAGCAATGCCGATCTGATTAATACTTGGCTTGATCATAAGGACAAGAACCCAAAATTATTTGTATTTCAAAAAATGTCTCCTTTATTAAATATTGATGAACCTTCCAGTCAAATGAGACACCACTTGCGCCTGAAAAAGCCCACTATGTTGGAGCGAAACGTCGCATAAAAAAAGTTTCCATCTTTCAATTTATTATAAAACCTCATACCCAAAAAAAGGGAAAAATAATATATGGATATGGTCTATTAAAGAGGTAACTATTAACATCCGAACCCCTCATACCAATAAAAAGAACAGTAACAACGCGAAAAAGTAACATATTAGAAAATGATGTACAGAAATATCTTATATGTGAGGATACTTCATGTACCTATGATTTGGATACTATAAATTTGGAAGACTCTGTCAGCAGTGATTCTTCTGAATCAGAGTAGTTACGATCTATGCATTTTGTTGTCCTAAAGTAAATTTATAGTATCTTAAGTTTTTTTTAATTAAATATAACAGTAATGTTTCTTTTTCATTAAAGAAAAACATTTTTATCTTATATTACGCTTATATTGTAGGAATCATGTTCTAATGGTATTTCAATTCTATCACAGGGATTTATTTAATACTTACACCGTCTTCACACTATAAATTATTATTTTCTTAGATGGAACACAGCTCCAACATTTTTATTATTTATAAGATTTTTTTTTTCATAAACGTGGGACTAAGAACATCATCATTTAGTACAATGAGAGTACTCATCATTTGTGTCAAATAAACCTAGTTTAAAAAAATTGCCTACAATAAAAGAGAAGCTTTGCATTTTTGTCCTCTAGAGCCATATGTTCGAAGCACTGTGCAGCGGTCAAAAAAATAACTATTTTATTTTGTGAATTTTCTTACAGTGCAAGTGGCGAAATACTCATAGGACTTTTTGAAGATATCAACCATATCATGACCCCGCACCATATATGAATACATGAATAGTATTATACTCTTTCCTTAATCTTTTTATTTAAAGGTTTTTAGGTTGTAAAGGGTTATTATTTAATGTAAAAAGGGGAAAAATACAGGGTGACATAGCCGCCCGTGATTTTACGTCTATTTCAATCAATGTTAAAACTGCTTACCGTTTAGGAACATATACCGATGAGGTTTCCGTTGTTCCATTCTGTGTATATAACTTGGTATTCTGTGGTAACTGGTTAATTACTGCTCCTTCAACATGGTTTGATCTAATAGCTTCTTGCACCTGCCTCGTAAGAGATCTGTTTTCAAATACGATACCCATGTTCGAATCTGATGTTGATTTTAAATTATTTTTTTGTTTGTTGACAAATTGTCGAGGGTTGTTTTTTTTTTCTTTTTTTTTCTCCTCTGGTAAGTTATGAATGTTTGCGTTAGGAATGTCATTTTGACCAGTAACTTGCGACGAATTTTCGTTTACTCCAAACAAGTTACTATTTACCGTTCTACCTTCGGCTACCTGTTTTTGCAGACTAAAATTTTCAATCGGTGTTGAGCTGACAGGTTGGTTATCGACCTCTGCCAAATGTGTCTGACTAAGAGGACTGTCACTCATATCACACCATATATCCCACAGCTTATAACTTTCGACGATAACCTTAGGGTCTTTGGAAGTAAGAAAGTCTTCTATCGACGGATCAGTATAATTGGAAAATGACACGTTATTGTGATGAGACGAACCATCCTTTTTTTTCTCATCCTCCATCCCGTTATTATTATCAGATGGGATTACAGGTATAAAATCTAATAATTCTATATCCTGATCCTGACACGCTCCCGTTAGCAGAGGATTTCCTGAGTAATTATGATCTTTTTGCCATGAAGGGGTTATATTTTTATTATGAGTGGAACTACAATCGGTCTTGGCATCGCTAGATACATTTTTTTCTTCTGGTAATAAATCATTGGTAGTTTCGTCTAATTGACCCATACTCATTAATCTTAACAAAATTTTCGAGTCTGTAAGATAATCAGGAATACGTTCATCCAATCTATAGTCCGGTACTTCATAATTCACATCGCTAGACTCTGTAATGTTACCTGGCGAGCTGGGATTCCAATAGCTAATTGCCATTGCTGCAGGCGACATAGCTAATGGAGACGTTGGATTTGAATAAAAACTGCGACTCGCCTTATCTGCAGTTTTAATACCTAAATACGCTTGGGTTTCTTGCCCATCAATATTCAAACTATTTTTACTATCACCTTTTAAAACATTTAAAGTGTTACCATTGGTACTTGCTTCTACTTCTGTTAATTGCTCTTCATTAGATACACTAGGTGAACTCGATACGCTTTGTGTTTGGTCATCAATTTCCGGTTGAGAATTTTCAATTTTATTAACTTGTGATGCCAATCGATTTTCTTGATTAAATGTCAAGTTTAATCCTGTCTGCTGCTGATCGCCAATATCGTCTTGTAAGTGATTTTCTGAAAGACCCCCTGCATTATTCAGCTCGCTTTCCTCTATTACAGTACTTATGTCTGTTACTGCTTGCTTTTGTTCATCATTATCGTGTTGTAAATTTTTAATATTCAAACAGTTGTTAATATTTCCTTCCACTTGTGATTGTCCTTCACTAGGTATACTAAGTGAGCATGATATCGTTTGACTTTGGTTATCAATTTCCTGTTGAGAATTTTTAGTTTTCAAAATGTGTTCGTCAATATCTTGCTGTAAGTTATTTTTTGAAAGAGTTTCTGCATTATAGGAGCTTTCTTCTATATCTGTTTCTTGTTTTTGTAATACACTAATTGTGTCTGCTACATTCAAATTATTATCTTTAATATCTTCTTTCACTTGTGTTAATTGTTCTGCATTAGATGTATTAAGTGAATTTGATTTGCTTTCAGTTTGGTCAGCAATTTCCTGTTGAGAATTTTCAATATTCAAAAATTGTTCTTCATAATTATCGTTCGTTGTTAAATTATCTTCTACTGCATTATTAGATACACTAAATAAGTTTGATATTGTTTGTATTTGGTCATCAATTTCCGGTTGAGAATTTTCAATTTTATTAACTTGTGATGCCAATCGATTTTCTTGATTAAATGTCAAGTTTAATCCTGTCTGCTGCTGATCGCCAATATCGTCTTGTAAGTGATTTTCTGAAAGACCCCCTGCATTATTCAGCTCGCTTTCCTCTATTACAGTACTTATGTCTGTTACTGCTTGCTTTTGTTCATCATTATCGTGTTGTAAATTTTTAATATTCAAACAGTTGTTAATATTTCCTTCCACTTGTTGTGATTGTCCTTCACTAGGTATACTAAGTGAGCATGATATTGTTTGACTTTGGTTATCAATTTCCTGTTGAGAATTTTTAGTTTTCAAAATGTGTTCGTCAATATCTTGCTGTAAGTTATTTTTTGAAAGAGTTTCTGCATTATAGGAGCTTTCTTCTATATCTATTTCTTGTTTTTGTAATACACTAATTGTGTCTGCTACATTCAAATTATTATCTTTAATATCTTCTTTCACTTGTGTTAATTGTTCTGCATTAGATGTATTAAGTGAATTTGATTTGCTTTCAGTTTGGTCAGCAATTTCCTGTTGAGAATTTTCAATATTCAAAAATTGTTCTTCATAATTATCGTTCGTTGTTAAATTATCTTCTACTGCATTATTAGATACAGTAAATGAGTTTGATATTGTTTGTATTTGGTCATCAATTTCCGGTTGAGAATTTTCAATTTTATTAACTTGTGATGCCAATCGATTTTCTTGATTAAATGTCAAGTTATATCCTGTCTGCTGCTGATCGCCAATATCGTCTTGTAAGTGATTTTCTGAAAGACCCCCTGCATTATTCAGCTCGCTTTCCTCTATTACAGTACTTATGTCTGTTACTGCTTGCTTTTGTTCATCATTATCGTGTTGTAAATTTTTAATATTCAAACAGTTGTTAATATTTCCTTCCACTTGTTGTGATTGTCCTTCACTAGGTATACTAAGTGAGCATGATATTGTTTGACTTTGGTTATCAATTTCCTGTTGAGAATTTTTAGTTTTCAAAATGTGTTCGTCAATATCTTGCTGTAAGTTATTTTTTGAAAGAGTTTCTGCATTATAGGAGCTTTCTTCTATATTTGTTTCTTGTTTTTGTAATACACTAATTGTGTCTGCTACATTCAAATTATTATCTTTAATATCTTCTTTCACTTGTGTTAATTGTTCTGCATTAGATGTATTAAGTGAATTTGATTTGCTTTCAGTTTGGTCAGCAATTTCCTGTTGAGAATTTTCAATATTCAAAAATTGTTCTTCATAATTATCGTTCGTTGTTAAATTATCTTCTACTGCATTATTAGATACAGTAAATGAGTTTGATATTGTTTGTATTTGGTCATCAATTTCCGGTTGAGAATTTTCAATTTTATTAACTTGTGATGCCAATCGATTTTCTTGATTAAATGTCAAGTTATATCCTGTCTGCTGCTGATCGCCAATATCGTCTTGTAAGTGATTTTCTGAAAGACCCCCTGCATTATTCAGCTCGCTTTCCTCTATTACAGTACTTATGTCTGTTACTGCTTGCTTTTGTTCATCATTATCGTGTTGTAAATTTTTAATATTCAAACAGTTGTTAATATTTCCTTCCACTTGTTGTGATTGTCCTTCACTAGGTATACTAAGTGAGCATGATATTGTTTGACTTTGGTTATCAATTTCCTGTTGAGAATTTTTAGTTTTCAAAATGTGTTCGTCAATATCTTGCTGTAAGTTATTTTTTGAAAGAGTTTCTGCATTATAGGAGCTTTCTTCTATATTTGTTTCTTGTTTTTGTAATACACTAATTGTGTCTGCTACATTCAAATTATTATCTTTAATATCTTCTTTCACTTGTGTTAATTGTTCTGCATTAGATGTATTAATGAATTTGATTTGCTTTCAGTTTGGTCAGCAATTTCCTGTTGAGAATTTTTCAATATTCAAAAATTGTTCTTCATAATTATCGTTCGTTGTTAAATTATCTTCTACTGCATTATTAGATACAGTAAATGAGTTTGATATTGTTTGTATTTGGTCATCAATTTCCGGTTGAGAATTTTCAATTTTATTAACTTGTGATGCCAATCGATTTTCTTGATTAAATGTCAAGTTATATCCTGTCTGCTGCTGATCGCCAATATCGTCTTGTAAGTGATTTTCTGAAAGACCCCCTGCATTATTCAGCTCGCTTTCCTCTATTACAGTACTTATGTCTGTTACTGCTTGCTTTTGTTCATCATTATCGTGTTGTAAATTTTTAATATTCAAACAGTTGTTAATATTTCCTTCCACTTGTTGTGATTGTCCTTCACTAGGTATACTAAGTGAGCATGATATTGTTTGACTTTGGTTATCAATTTCCTGTTGAGAATTTTTAGTTTTCAAAATGTGTTCGTCAATATCTTGCTGTAAGTTATTTTTTGAAAGAGTTTCTGCATTATAGGAGCTTTCTTCTATATTTGTTTCTTGTTTTTGTAATACACTAATTGTGTCTGCTACATTCAAATTATTATCTTTAATATCTTCTTTCACTTGTGTTAATTGTTCTGCATTAGATGTATTAAGTGAATTTGATTTGCTTTCAGTTTGGTCAGCAATTTCCTGTTGAGAATTTTCAATATTCAAAAATTGTTCTTCATAATTATCGTTCGTTGTTAAATTATCTTCTACTGCATTATTAGATACAGTAAATGAGTTTGATATTGTTTGTATTTGGTCATCAATTTCCGGTTGAGAATTTTCAATTTTATTAACTTGTGATGCCAATCGATTTTCTTGATTAAATGTCAAGTTATATCCTGTCTGCTGCTGATCGCCAATATCGTCTTGTAAGTGATTTTCTGAAAGACCCCCTGCATTATTCAGCTCGCTTTCCTCTATTACAGCACTTATGTCTGTTACTGCTTGCTTTTTGTTCATCATTATCGTGTTGTAAATTTTAATATTCAAACAGTTGTTAATATTTCCTTCCACTTGTTGTGATTGTCCTTCACTAGGTATACTAAGTGAGCATGATTTTGTTTGACTTTGGTTATCAATTTCCTGTTGAGAATTTTTTAGTTTTCAAAATGTGTCAATATCTTGCTGTAAGTTATTTTTTGAAAGAGTTTCTGCATTATAGGAGCTTTCTTCTATATCTATTTCTTGTTTTTGTAATACACTAATTGTGTCTGCTACATTCAAATTATTATCTTTAATATCTTCTTTCACTTGTGTTAATTGTTCTGCATTAGATGTATTAAGTGAATTTGATTTGCTTTCAGTTTGGTCATCAATTTTCTGTTGAGAATTAATATCTTCTGACAGTTTTCGCTTTTTAAGAGGTTTCAATACATTTTTTCGCTCATCACGTTCTGCAGTTCTATTATGCACTCTTCTCTTTTTAATAGGTATTTTCTTATCGTCATATTGTTTTGTTGTATCCGTCTTAACTTGAGCATTTGTGGAGCCTAGGTCAGATGTGTGACCTATGATTGCAGTTCCTTTACTACCTAAATTGTCTATTTCTTGATTCACTGTCTTTTTCTGCTCAACAATAATGTGATTTAAATCGACAACTCCTGCACTCAATTGTATATCCTCATGCTGTTGATTCTGGGTTTTTGATAATATAGTCTTTTTAGAACTTTTTTTTGCTCTTTTAGGTATGCGCGATTGTGACTGATCACGATCCTTTGGCTGCGTTAACTTTATTCCTCTATTTCTTCTACTTCTCAATTGTGTATCCTTATGCTGTTGATTCTGGGTCTTTGATAATATAATCTTTTTAGAACCGTTTTTAGCCGTTTTAGGTATGCGCGATTGTGACTGATCACGATTCTTTGGCTGCGTTAACTTTATTCCTCTATTTCTTCTACTTCTCAATTGTGTATCCTTATGCTGTTGATTCTGGGTCTTTGATAATATAATTTTTTTAGAACCGTTTTTAGCCGTTTTAGGTATGCGCGATTGTGACTGATCACGATTCTTTGGCTGCGTTAACTTTATTCCTCTATTTCTTCTACTTCTCAATTGTGTATCCTTATGTTGTTGATTCTGGCTCTTTGATAATATAATCTTTTTAGAACCGTTTTTAGCCGTTTTAGGTATGCGCGATTGTGATTGATCACGATTCTTTGGCTGCGTTAACTTTCTCTTTTCAGATAAACCTTTTGCTTTTTTAAGTGTATGCGATTGTGACTGATCACGATTTATTGGCTCCGATAACTTTCTCTTTCTAAATACGCTGTTCTGTTTTATCGTTGTTTGAAGTCCATGCAATTTTGACTGATCGTGTTCAACAGTTTTAATAGTTTTCATTGCTACATTTAAATTATCTTTATTAGATATACTAAGTGAACTTGCGACTGGTTGTATATGTTTTTCATCATTTAATAATTTTTCCTTACATGGCTCAGATAGTCGTTTCTGCAATTTTTCTATCGTAGGTTTTATTGTATCCGTCTTAACTTGAATCTTCTTTTGGCAAGGAGGATCACTTTCAACAGTTCCAGCATTTTTATTGGATCCTGGGTCAGATGGATGTTCTGTAATTACAGTTTCTGCATTATAGGAGCTTTCTTCTATATCTGTTTCTTGTTTTTGTAAAACACTAATTGTGTCTGCTACATTCAAATTATTATCTTTAATATCTTCTTTCACTTGTGTTAATTGTTCTGCATTAGATGTATTAAGTGAATTTGATTTGCTTTCAGTTTGGTCAGCAATTTCCTGTTGAGAATTTTCAATTTTATTAACTTGTGATGCCAATCGATTTGCTTGATTAAATGTCAAGTTTAATCCTGTCTGCTGCTGATCGCCAATATCGTCTTGTAAGTGATTTTCTGAAAGACCCCCTGCATTATTCAACTCGCTTTCCTCTATTACAGTACTTATGTCTGGTACTGCTTGCTTTTGTTCATCATTATTGTGTTGTAAAATTTTAATATTCAAACAGTTGTTAATATTTTCTTCCACTTGTTGTGATTGTCCTTCACTAGGTTTCACAGGTGGATGTTCTGTAATTACAGTCCCTTTCCTACCTGAACTGAAATCCTTTAAATCTGACCTAACATATATATAATTTGATTTTTCATTTTCATTTTGATCCATCGATGTAGATTCTTGAGAATCACCTCGACGTTTGTCAATTATGGTCGCGTTGGTGTCTTTTACTCGTATCACCCATTCTTTTCGTGTTTCTTCATAACTTATCTGTAAATAATATTTTACTCTTGTTTTATACAGGGTGTTTCTTAATGACATAAGGGGGTGATTCTCGAACCTATTCTAAGAAAAAAAAACTTCATATGAATGTATGTCCTAAACATCTTAACTTATACAGAGAGATACAGGGTACCTATTCTCCTATTCTTGTCTTTTGTTATATGACTTGATTTCTCCGAAAAAGCCATATAACAATACATGTAAATGCGTATACGCAAAATTTTTAATCAGAACGATGTCAACAATAGCACCGCACGGTGGTAGTTTCCTAAAAAAACTTTTTTTCATAATAACTCTGATGTTATAGATATATTTATGAAACTTGATACGCGTCTTCCATGCATGTATTTGATGCTTTTTTGATGTACAAATTATTTTTTATATTTATTCCAACCAGTGGCGCCAGTACAGATTTTACATTGAATATTTTTTACAAAAAATGGTACGTTACTGACTTCTTTAAAAATAAACATTATTTTCAAAATCTATATAGTTTTCAAACAATTATCATTGTTTTTTGCAAAAAAAACTGCTTAAAATTTTTTAGAGTCATTTAAAAAGTAATTTTACTTCAGGGTTAAGTCGCTAAAAATCTGATGCGGTGACAGTGGTGGATTGTGCATTTTTTTGTACATCAAAAAATAATTTTTACGTATAGAAGCAGGGTTGCCAGATTATTACAGCTAAATTCCAAGAGGGCAAAAAAAGCGGGAGCAAAAAAAAGGTGACTCTCTAAAAATACACATCCCCCCCCCCTTCCTTATCCACATTTTCATTAAATTGAATTAAAACAAACTATAGTCAAAACATGTTTGACTATTTTCACACAAGCACAAACGACATAAACGAAGGTGTAATCACCAAAATACCATAAATGAAGATAAACAATTAGATATAAACTAACTAATAATAAAAGTGTGTATTGTTTTTTTTGTGAACTTTATAACATTTTATTTTATAATTTGGTTGACGTTTTCCGGGATAGTATAATCATTTTTCGGGGTCCGGAATTTTTACCCGGAAATCCCGGGCGTCTTGCAACTCTACATAGAAGACGTGTATCAAATTTCATAGATATGTATCAGAGTTAACCATTTTTAACTCTAACCATTTTTTTTTATAGTTTATAGAAATTTTCTAACCATTTTCTACAGTATACTATAAAAAATGGTTAGAAAATTTTAGCACCCTGTATCCTGTATCTCAAAAGTTAAGATCTTTAGGATATACATTTATATGAACTTTTTTTCTAATAGTACGAGAGCTAGCAACGTCTGAAAAAACAAGTATTTTAAGACGTCTGGTTCTTTGATATACAGTGCTTTTATTTTAACTGTGAACATAGGGCTTATAGCGCCATGCTATTCTGCTATGTTCATTTTTAATGTGGAAGAGTCAATGCATTGGATTTGAACTGAACAGTATGCAACCAACAATACTCCGTACAAAAATAATAATATTTGTTTTAAAATAATTTATTTTGTTTAACCAAAATTAGCGTATTCTTTCTAAAAAAAATACAATTTTGGAATAATCTGTTTTGGATGACAAATAATATCTTGAATTTTATTTAATGACTATTAATTTTTTGGTAACGAATCGCTTGTCAATATTTATTTAATCAATGGATGAAAAGATGAAAAAAGAAAAAAGGTTGGTTATGGGATTGACAACGTGAACGAGAATTCTACGTGAACGTGGAGCGTAAAAAATATTCTCCATGTTTACAAGCTTATGTTGATATCTATTATTCATGATTTAGTGTAATAAGGATCACTTATTAAGATATGCTAGTTTCAACATTTTGTAATAGATACAAAGCGTCTCATTGGCGTCTAACCTCAAGGGCGAATCCGCTAAGAAAGGTAATATCACTTTGTTTTTAGTTTTAACTCTTTATTCATCATATTTTTATTTACTTAAAGCGCAAAACTGTAACACACTTAAAGTCAAATTCGTTATAATGATAATATAATACTAAACGTAACTTTGATTTTAGGTGCAAATAATGAATATGTACTGAAATAGTGTACTTATTTATTAACATATTAAAATTAGAATTACAAGAGATGTTCAAAATGCCCTCCCTCACATTCCAAGCAATATGCAAGACGGTTTTTAAATTCCTCTACAGCATGTCTGAGGAATTGAGGATTTATTGAATTACATGCTGTAAGTACCCTAGTTTTTAATTCCTCTATGTTTTCAATTTGTATATTGTTGTAAATTTTGGATTTTAGGTAGCCCCAAAGAAAAAAGTCATTTGGTGACAGTGATATTTGTTCGTGACCAATATCAAAAATTTTATGATACTAACCGAAAGTTTTGGGAGTTGACTGATCCATGTAATGTAAAAGTAGCCTTATCTGTGAATATTATGTTGTGCAAGAGGTCATTGTTATTATTAATTAAATTAAATATAAATATTCACAAAATACAGTGCGTCTTTCTTTGTCTTCTTCAAATAAAACTTGGTGATTTCCATATTTATACGATTTAAATTTGAATTCTTTCAATAAATTGTGAACTGACGACTTGGAAACACCAAAACGCTGTGAAAGTGTATTTAGCGTTACCCTTTCATTTCATTCATCTTCAACGTAACAAAAAATTCTAATTTTAAATTTTCCGTTAGTACCGGACATTGTCGTACCCTCTTTTTATGCAGATTATTAATACAGCCTTCATGATTAAATTTTTGTACTAACTTTTGAATTAGTCCCACCGATGGAATTTGTTTGTCGGGATATTTAGCCGCAAATATATCGCGGACTGATCTTATACTGTTACCGCTTAGGTATAAAGACACCATCTCAATTTTTTCTTTTTCTGTAAACATGTTATTTTATATTATTAATTTTACAATCAATTTACAATGAAAATTTAAAAATAAATTATAAGAAATGGCTTATTTTAAAACAAAAAATAGCGCTTTTTAAAATGGCGGTTTAAAATTATGAATTGTTGGTTGCATACCCACTATGAAAATTCAATGCGTTGACTGTTTTATTTTAAAAATGAACATAGTAGAATAGCATGGCGCTATAAGCCCTATGTTCACAGTTAAAATAAAAGCACTGTATATCTTTTACTACATGCTCTCTAGAACAACATGCGGCCCGTCTGGCTGCCGGTAAACGTTGCGTTCCCTACTGCGCATTGAAAGAAGATCCTATATTTTTATTAGTCCTTTAAATTCTATTATTGAATAAAAATCGAACGTTTCCCGATAGCGCAGTGCGTAGAGTTTCCGACCATGAACCGATGATTCAGAGTTCGAATCCGGGTTGGGGCAAACACTTTTTTATTTTATATTCGTTTATATTCTGATAGTAAATTATTAAATATTTGTTTTTATTTAATTACCAGAATTATTTAATACTTTACTATCAGAATATAAACGAAAATAAAATAAAAAAGGCTTTGACCTGAGCAGGATTTGAACTCTGAATCATCGGTTCGTGGTCGGAAACTCTACGCACTTGGCTATGGAGACATGTTTCCGATACGCAGTAGTGAACGTAACGGGTATCGGCAGCCAGACGGGCCAGATGCTGTTCCAGAGAGCATAGTAAAAGATATATCAAAAAGCCAGACGTCTTAAAATACTTTCTCGAAAACGTTGCTAGCTCTTAGACTATAAAAACAGACCCAAGAATCACCCCTTAAATATGAGCATGACATTAAGGAACACCCTGTATACTATCGAATATTCAAAACATCAGATATCTAATATAAGCGTTGATTGAAAAAATTGGGAAGATACGCAACCTAATGGGCGAATTCGTGACAAGGCTGATTTGATTTCCCCTTACGTGTCGAGTGCTGTACGGTGGTGACACCAATCGTTCTGCGGTCAACGCATAAAACACTTATTTTCCCTAATTCGGCCAGCCAAGGCATATCGAACGCGGTGTGGATCTGAAAGCGACAGTGTTGCCATATTAAAATGTGTAATAACTGTAATACGTTTGACGAAAATATCTTTGGATGAAAAATTCGCGTTTATGTATTGAACATTTATTCGTGTTAAACATAGACTAAACAACAAAAATAAACATTCTTTTATGTTTTATGTGTACTAAATATGATCGAAAAAAGTCGTCCCTGGTGAATATGTCGTAAATCTACGGATTAAAGTAAAAATTTCAGTTAACGTCTCCTTTTTGCTGCCGGGACTAATCTGGACGGGGCCTACTTTGTTTACGCGGAATCCGAACCGCGGTCCTCGGCCATATCATGGTTAATGGCCTACCGACTTGGCAAGTGTCTAAATCAACTCTTACTCACGAGATATACGATCTCATCCGGCCTCGAACCGGCGTGAATTAGCAGTGTGTGTCAATAGATTTTACACTTTTGCCTTTATTGGACAACAACACGATACAGAGTTTTGAACTGGTCACCCGTCCATCCACTAGTATCGCCTTACGTCGCTTAACTTCGATGTTTTACTGGGAACCGGTGATTCGACGTAGCTGGGCCGTTGCCCTAAATCTACGGATTAATCAGTAGTTCTAGCAACACTGTCTCCGGCAACCACTCACTCTGTCGACTGAAAGCAGAACTACGGTACAGTATCCTCTATCCGCTGCGCTGTAAACGAATATCAGCGCGCAACGGCGCAGTGCTAAACTAAATCCCGGACAGGCTGACGTTAACGCCAGCTACATGGATAGGTTTTGTGCCACGAAATTCCCATAATGTTGCACATATTATTTCTTCAGGGTGCATCCACACTATCCTAGAAACGCATCGGCATAACGACCTTGAATCGATTTCCACCAATTCTATTGGCTGAAAAATTCATCTGTCAGAAATTTTATCTGTCAAAAATTTCAGCCAATAGAATTGCTGGAAATCGATTCAAGGTCGTTAGGCTGTTACGACGATACGCCGTTTCTAGGATAGTGTGGATGCACCCTCAGTCAACGATTACACGTTAAAACCCAGACAAAGGGTCTAGGGTGACCCGAACTGTATACCGGGTGCGTCTCAAAAGTGGCTCACCCTTATAACTTTTTTATTTTTTTAGATAAAAAAACGAGAATTGGTACAGTACGTCTGTCCGTTCTGTAGCTACGGGGTATCCGTGAGAGGGGAAACGATATTCTCTCGATGTTTTTCGTAAAAAAATAGACGACGCGTCCCATCAATAAAAATTCAACAAATTTGCAAGTAGCCAATAAAATGAGTGGGCGGACGCACTCGTCATATCGACGTATAAAATATATTGCTGTTTATTTAAATGCTTTTTGTCCGCATTCCTTTCATAGACACAGATCCAGCAGATGTACAGCTGGTTCCAAAAAAAATGAATTTTATCTCTAGTAGTAGAAGAATATCTCTTTACACATTTTTTAGAATATTTGGGCAGTGTATATTTATGTCTCAAGTATTTTGACATGTTAAGGTTATTGTGACATTGTATAAAACAACTTTGCTTTTGACAAAGTCGCAAATAAATTTTTCAGAACGTCAGTATGACATGAGTAGAGAAATGGGGACTGGTATCATAGAATATACTGCCCGAAATAATAAAAATATGTTTTAAATCGTATTCAATTTTATTGGAACCAGCTGTACTGTATGTTAGTATATGACATAAATTCTGTTTCACCGGAAATTACTACAATTTTTGATTTTTAAATGGCACCCCGGATTTTTTTTTACTTTATTCGATAGAAAATGACATTCTGAATAGAATGACATATCATATGTCAACTTTTGACATTTTCGCTTATAACAAAATTGTATTTTAAATTTCAATCTAGAATGCCATGGCTGTTTTAAAAACACTAATGTTTAATCAAGGAGCCTTGGAAAAATATATTTGATCGTCTAATGTTTTTAGTGTCTTGTCCCTGGCCAGCTAAAAGATGCCCATATCGTATTTTTTTAATCATATCTATTTATTTTTCAAATGGAACAAGGGTGGCTCATTAGCATATTTGGAAAAATCGCATTTTTTACGAATAATTTGGTACCACACACTTGGTATTTCGAGTCAAATTGTTGTTATGAACCACCGCTACAATTTCACATAAACCATATGCGAAAATGTCAAAAGTTGACATATGATTTGTCATTCTATTCAGAATGTCATTTTCTATCAAACGAAGTAAAAAAATACCGAGGGTGTTACTAACACACCAAATCTCGTTTTTTAACTGAAAAAATAGATAAGTTATAGGGGTGAGCCACTTTTGAGACGCATCCGGTATATATAAAACATGTTGACAAAAAATATTTTAATACTAACCTCAGCATTTGAATTTTCCACCAACTGCTTAATTTGGTCTCGGATGCTCAATTGAGCACGGGTTATAAAGCCGTTAGAGTTCATTGGATCAGTTTGGTTTAAGATCGCGTTAGCACCGCTGTTAAAACTATTTACTTTATTTACATTTGTACACGAGTCCTGCGTTTGCGGTTGCGATGTATCCTTCGACACTTCGGTATCACTAGTATCACTATCATCTATCAAGTCAATTATATCATCACACACATCAATCACTTTCAAAGGTGTTGTAGCTTTATGTTGTCCTGTATCGTACACATCATCACTCATATTATTTCGGCACCTTTCTGGTTTTAACGGATAGGAACTGTTCTCAGCGACAGTATCGTCAGGGCAGATGTCGTCGTCATCATCTAATATCGTTATAACATCATTCTCACTGCCATCGGTAATTTGTTCGTTCCATTTGTATATGCCTATGCACGAGGAACTGTTAGGGTATGAGTTGCAACAAGTCAGTTGAGGTGGTTTATTCATTGTTCTTGAGATCTCTAGTTCGCACTTTCTCACATTTTCTTTTACTTTGCTAAAAATAATTAAAAATAATTATACCTATCTACAGGGTAACCTAGCGTTAGGGGTTTCATAGCTATTGTCATTTTATTAAACACTTCCGTGTTTTTTTCAAAATATAATACAACTAGCGTGTACCAGCGACGTCGTTAGCGTCGAATTAATTATTTGTAATGGTAATGATAAAGCAAAGCAAGAATTTGCATTAACATACAAACTGGATAAAATTTTCTCACATTTATGTCCGTTGAGAAAAACAATATGGCGATATTATTATACAACTTGGTAATATTTGAGAAGTAGTTTCATCTCGTTGGAATTTGACTTCCGAAAAATCCGTTTGCCAAAAATAAGCTTTTTACGTCAAGCAGTTTAAGCAGAATCGTGGTTAAGAAATTACCCAACTTTTTGGAACACCCTGTATGATTTTTTCAAAATATGTAAAAAAAAACAAATAAATCATGCTTGTCCAAGCGTTTTCCCGAAAGACTAACCGTATTTTAAATAACAAATATTGTAATATTTTAGGGGCGTTTTCACCCTCTTGGAATTTGAGATTCGAGAAACCCCTCCTTATCGAACCTCTACACCCCACAGTCAACCCGTTTGCCAAAAATCAGCTTTAAACGTCAAGAAGTTTAAGCAGAATCGTGATTACTCAATGGTCATATTTTATGAAACACCGTGTATAAATTAAAAGTGAGAAATCTCCCCAAGAGAGATAGCACATGTTTTTTGAAACCCCCGGAATACAACAGCTTAAAATAACTGGTTTCTGTTATTTTTTGACTTTAATGTTAAACATCTAAAATAGCGTACGCATTATCCAAATTGTAGTAAAATCATACAAATCTTCTTATTTACTTCTTAATCAAAAATAATGTACTTAAAATATAAAATTTATATGCAAATCAAACTCTGTTTTAATTTTTAGAATATGTTTATTATATTATTAATAATTAAGAAAATAATTATTAAAAAAAATCAATATTACTAATATTAAAAAAAAATTAGCTTAGACAGTCTTTATTTATTTAAGTAGTTGAAAAGCACTTATTTCTAACCAATGAGGCTAATTTTAAATGTAATGGATTAGTAAGTCCACACTGTAGTAGACATATGTACACTAGGCATGACACTTTTAATGATAAACGTCTACTAATGAAAGAGCGAAAATCAAAAAATATCTATACTAATAGCCTTGTTTATATATTAATAGTTAGTCAATGTGCCTGTATAAGTCGATGCTGCCAACTGGTGGCAGAAATTAAAACGTAAAAAGGGGCGGAGACTATTGAATTTGGCAAAGAAGTAGGGACTAGGAATTCTTCGAATTTAATTCTCGGTAAAGAATAAAATATCTTATCTGCTTTTTCCAAGAGGGTGAAACCACCCCTCAAATATTACAATATTTTTTATTTAAAAACGGTCAAGTTTCCGAAAAAACGCTTAAACACGTATATTTTATTTTGTTTTTTTACATATTTTAAGATTTTTTAAAAATGTATACAGGGTGTTTCGAAAAACCTGGTCATTGATTAATCACGATCCTGCTTAAAGCGCTTGACGTAAAAAGCTGATTTTTGGAAAACAGGATTGATTTTAGGGTGTAGAGGTTCGATAAGAAGGAATTTTTCGAAACTCGAATTCTAAGGGGGTGAAACTATCCCTCAAATATTAAAATATGTTTTATTTAAAAACCGGTGAGTTTTTCGGAAAAACTCTTAAACACGTATATTTTATTTTGTTGTTTTACATATTTTAAGATTTTGTATAAATTTATGCAGGGTGTTTCATAAAATATGACCATTGAGTAATCACGATTCTGCTTAAACTGCTTGACGTTTAAAGCTGATTTTTGACAAACGGATTGGCTGTGGGGTGTAGAGGTTCGATAAGGAGGGGTTTCTCGAATCTCAAATTCCAAGAGGGTGAAAACGCCCCTCAAATATTACAATATTTGTTATATAAAAAAAAGGTTAGTCTTGGACAAACATAATTAATTTTGTTTTTTTTACACATTTTGAATTTTTTAAAAAAATCATACAGGGTGTTACAAAAAGTTGGGTAATTTCTAAACCACGATACTGCTTAAACTGCTTGACCTAAAAAGCTTATTTTTGGCAAACGGATTTTTCGAAAGTCAAATTCCAACGAGATGAAACTACCCCTCAAATATTACAAAGTTATATAATAATATCGCCATATTGTTTTTTTCTCATGCTGACATAAATGTGAGAAAATTTTATCCAGTTTGTATGTTAATGGAAATTCGTGCTTTGTTTTATCATCACCATTACAAATGATTAATTCGACGCGAACAAAGTCGCTGGTACGCGCTAGTTTCTAATAAAAAAACAATGGTATTTAAGATAATTACAAAAAATCTAATTTTAAACATCCTGTAACTCTAAAACTGTGCATTTCCATACCCATGTTTATATGAACTATTTTTTCATATTTTTTGATGAGGAATCAATGAGTACTTATTTAAAACTTTCGCATGTTAATGATATTAAGAAATTTTAAAGGTTGCTATTAGACTTGGATCAAGGCAAGTTAATAAAATTGTGCTTATCTCATTAAGGAGGCCGAAATTGACAAAATATCAAGAGACAACTTGTAATCGGCATTAAGCTGCTTACACTATTTCGCTAACAAGAGAAAAAAATCAGTGGCGTACATGCTTTTTTTAGAAAAATATTCGAGTGATAACCCATATGCACGTCCTGGTGAATATGTCGACACTTTTTTAGTTTTAATATATGTCGCATTTATAGTAACTTTTATCCTCAAAATTTCATTAAAAAACGCTAAAATTATTAAACGCTAAAAGTATTTGGAAGAAAATTATAATAAATTGAAAAAATAACAAGATTTTAACACCTTGTAGTTATGAAATAAAGCAGAATCGGACCTATCAATCCTAATTTAGATCATATAGTAATATACCAAATCTCGTTTTTAACTGAAAAAATAAAAATGTTATATTGGTGAGCCACTTTTGATGCGCACACGGTATAACAGTAACAGTTTCAACTGTTCTTTAAAAATAACGGTTCTGCCCACCACTACACGGTTAGTATAAGACATGGTATTTTTGGCGTGGAAATTTATTGACAAATCCACTAAGCTAAACAAGGTATTCCATTAACTACTTAAGTTTAAAAAGCTACAACTTAAGTTTGAAAATATGTTTCCAAACACCCAACTTTTATTGATTTCTCTATACAGTATACGAAGGTACTTACTCTACAATATCATCGAAAAACTTATGAACATCAACAGGCATATCATTCAGAACAGCTAATATCTCCCTCCAAATTTCATAGGAATTGTCGGAAAACTTTGAATAAATGTTGCATAACAAAAACAATATTCTATCCTTCATAACTTCATGGTATTCGCCATGATCGTGTATCGGATGTTTGAGCACTTCCAGCTCTAGTTTTATGTAGCTTAAGATCAATTCCCTGATGACTCCATATGGATATTTTCCCTCTCTCTGATTCAAAACAAATTAACCAAATCATCCTAGATCATATATACTTACGTGGATAACTCAACGCCATAAGTTTAGCATTAAAAAATATGTCTCCAACATCACGACATGCCATTTTCAAACCTTCTTTATAGCACTTATGAAACGTTCAATAGGTTTGTCTTTTCCGAGGACCTTACTTTGCGCATGCGCATTAAAAGTTGCACGTATTTCCAAAATAATCACAATTTTATACGGTTTAGAAAGTACAAATTATACATTGTTATGGAAACCAACTTTTCATTGCCATCATATTCTCATAATCTTGTCATAATCATATGTCATCATCTTATTTCCATTGTGTAACGATGCTTATTTTTTGCGTTTTTTAATTTAAAAATTGTATTAATTACCCTTTTATCGACGGCTTTTATATAGCCAAAGATGCAAGTGTGTTCAGTGAGAAGTCAATCTGAGTTTCTGCAATTATATTTCTATTTTTTTTCGTTGGACTTTCTAAATACTCGTAAAAATGACTAGATAATGTTTGGTGTGTGGAAGTTCTAATATAAAGGTCCCCGAATTATCTTTTCATAGGCAAGTAAAGTATTCAGTTGTTATTTTATTTATATTAAACCACATACAGTACGTAAAATGAGTGGGCGGAGCGATTTGCGGTGACGTCTAGTCAAGTCGACGTATAAAATATATTGATGTTTATTTAAATGTTTTTTGTCCGCATTCCTTTCATAGACACTGATCCAGCAGATGTACTGTACATACATTCTGGTGAGATTTCCTAAGAATATTGATATTCGTACCGAGTGGCTAAATGTTTTTTTATATAGTTTAATTTTTGTGACAGTAAACATCCAATTTATTGTTCAAATATATGCATTTCACAAATTAATTTTTTAAAATTAATGTTCAAATTTGGCGCGTGGACGAAAGGTCCTCGACAAGGATAGATAGAGTAGAAGCACCGCATGTGCAACAAAAAGAGGATAAATGGAAGTTGTTGATATGTTTGAGACAGTTTCCATTGTGATTTACTTATCCACGTAAGTATAGGTACCGGGTGTTGCATCGTCGGACGGGATATAGAAAATCTCATGTAAATTTTAATGGGGTCAATTATTGGCTTCCTTAATTATTTTAGAGAATAATTCTATTTAGGTTTATTGAAGAGCACTAAAACCCACATTCAAAAGAATAACTTTAGATATTTTTGATTAGCTCGTTTACGAGTTATCGCCGATTTCTTTTTAAATATTTCTCCTTTCTTATGGCACTGTATTTACTTATGCACACCAGTCAAGGTAAAAGATAACTGTCAAATGAAGTTGTTATTTCAGAAATTTACCTATTTAGTGGTTTATTATTATTGAAAACTCATTCCTACATCGGAAATCTTAAAGATGTATTTATAAATACAAATTAATATGAATTAAAGTAAAATAAAGTAATCAATTACAAGGTTAATTATAGTATTATACAATATTCAATAACTTATTAATTTAGGTACTATTAAATTGTTAGAACTTTAAAATTTAAGAAGATGTTCAAATATTCCTCCATCCACTGCTAGACGATAACACAGGCGATCATAAAATTCTCTTCTTACATTCGCTAGTTGGTAAACTGAAATTCTATTGCATTTGGCAGAAATAACATTTTTTAACGCGTCTAGATTTGGGTATATATATTTTATCCTTGTATATCCTGTTTTTTAAATGGCCCCAGAGAAAGAAATTATTTGGCGAAATATCAGGAGACCTTGCTGGCCAATTTACTGTATGATTTAGGCCAATAACGTTTCCGTTAAAACCTTTGTTAAAACTATTGTCTAAATATTCCCGAACAGTCAGGGTACTATCTGCCGGGCAGCCATCCATTTGGTAACAAACTTCCCGATTTTCCCTAGCGGCATCATGTAAAGCAGGTAAAATATGATTTTCGAGTAGTTCCAAATAATATTCTGCATTTAAATTTCGCCTAAGAAATAATGGCCCGATAATATTGTGTCCGAATATCCCTGCCCAAACATTTAGTTTCTGTGGATATTGCGTCCTTGTTTCGACAAACCTGTGTTGGTTTTCTTTGTTCCAATATCGATAATTTTGAACATTGGGTTCATTATTTAAGGCAAACGTGCATTCGTCAGTAAAACATATATTTTTTTGAAATTCCCTATCCGTGTTTGCTCTTTCCATCATATCAAAACAAAACGCCTGCCACCGTATTTCGTCCCCATCTCGTAGCTCTTGGTGCTTTTCATATTTGAAGGAATAATATTTATGTCGTTTCGAAATTTGAAACGCTGTAGTGTGATCTATACCTATTTCATCGTCAAGTTTTCTTGTGCTGATCTTTCCAGCGTTCTCTTCCACGCACAATAAAACTTCCAAGTCGGTATCATTTCTTGCATCTTCTCTTTGTTCCTGCCTTGCTTCACATCTGCAGTTATTTATTAGGGTACCTTTGGTCTCAAATCTCTGGATATTCCTTGCGATGGTAGATTTTCCAGGTATCGGTCTATTCGGATACAGAGCAGCAAACATGTCCGACACTTTTTGATAACTATTTCCTTGATAATACCATTTAATCATCAATACTTTTTCTTCGGTAGTGTAATTCATGGCTAATATTTTCGATGTAGGTATGAGTTTCTAATAATAATAATAAAGCACTAAATAGATAAATTTCTGAAATGACAACTTCATTTGACAGTTAACTTTTACCTTGACTGGTGCTCATAAGTAAATACAGGGCCATAAGAAAGGAGAAATATTTAAAAAGAAATCGGCGATAACTCGTAAACGGGCTAATCAAAAATATCTAAAGTTATTCTTTTGAATGTGGGTTTTAGTGCTCTTCAATAAACATAAATAGAATTATTCTCTAAAATAATTAGGGAAGCCAATAACTGACCCCATTAAAATTTACATGGGCTTCCTATGTCCCGCTCGACGATGCAACACCCGGTATATATGATCTAGGTAAATTATACAAATATACAATTTTAATACATTGTCAAACGAGGGGAAAATCACTGGGGTATTTTAGTGTACAGGATGTCCTATTTTGGTTGAAATCATGTAGTATAAAATCGTGTCCCCGTTATTAGTGAAGATAGAAGGGTGCGGTTTGCACAAATCTGTCCCACTTTTTTGTCAAATGGAAGATACCGTAAACAAAATTTTCATAGCCCTCTTCGTTTCTAAGCTACAGGGTCTTTTTGAAAATTTTGCAATTTGGGACACCTTCTCTATCTCTGTTATTGTTAAAGCTATCGAGAAGGTGGAAACTGTTTATTGTAGAACTTTTTACGTAGAATATAGTGGCATAGTCTGTTATTCTACGAAAATAATATTTCTAAAGATAAGAACTAAAGTTATGTTTTCTTAAGTGGAACACCCTGTATATTTATAAATTATATGATCTGGCTTGCCATAAGCTTCTCAAAAATATATATCACTATATATTTATTTTCACTATTTAGTGCAATATTTAAAAGTTTTTATTAAAAGATCATATTTATTAGTAGGCCATGATTGATAATAAAAGAAACTAAAGAATTAGTAAAAGAATACGGCTATCTCTCTCTTGTTTTATTTTGGGAGCCACTGATAAATTTTTTATAAATGTATTAGGGAAATTTAACTCTCTACCGCTATTTGTAAATCTTTGAATTTACGTAAAATATACTTTCAGCAAGATGGGGCTCCCCCTCACAACCTTGAAAATATTAAAATTTTGTTAAATTATTATTTCTCAAATCAATGAATTAGAACCAATGGACCCATATGATTGCCTCCCTGATTCCTGAATTTGTCCGTTCTCGATTTCTGATTTTGGGAATTTTTGAAATATGAAATATATCGTGGCAACTACAACAATGTCGAACACCTGGAAAATGCTTTAATAATGCAAGCTTTTTAGATATTTTCAAACCCATCCCTATAACTAATTCCGTTATAAAAAAAGAAAAATATATTCAGAGATTCAGTGGTAACAGTTCAAAAGTAAAATACATCAATCTCAAATAAAATTTTAATATGTGTATGACTATTTTAGTAAATACCATTTTGATTTTTTTCTTATTTATCACGGCCTACTAACAAAAAAAAATGATAAATTTTAAATACTGCAGTAAATAGTGAAAATAAATATAGAGTGATATATATGTTACTGTAAATGTCCAAAATCTAGGATAAGCGCGCTAAACCTAGGATTTACCAAAAGCATTAACTAATTAGGTTAGCCTGGTTATTTGGAGGGTGTTAATGCATTGGTTAAGTGGTTATTTGGTGGGGTTGGTTGGTTTTTACTACCACTCGCTTTTGGTAAATCCTAGGTTTTACCGTATTTCGGACATTTACAGTAACATATACATTATGACCACCTAGGACGTGACGGTATTTCGAAGGAATTGCGGGGAATTTCGAGGGTATTTCGGGGATTTTTTCCGAAAAGAGAATTTCAGTGTACAAATTTAGGCAGTGATTTCCTCCTCGGCGTGTGTCAAATATACCGATCGGGTCATCGTAAACAGTGGCGGATATAAGAATTTATTTTAAGGTGGGGCCCAAATAAAAAGTAATGTAGAATATGCTTTTTAGGATGCCATTTTTAACCCAAATTATAGTTTTTTTTTCTGTATCCGCCACTGATCGTGAAAGCGTGGTCTGGATTTTAACGTGCAAGACAGTGATGTAGACAGCTTAATGAAAAATCAAATTAAAAAAAATTAAATTATTAATTTATTTAAATTAAATTAAAAAGAGATAAAAGTTGGGTTGATACATCTCTTCTGTGCCGGATTTTGTATCAAAATTTCAAATCGCACAAGTAGGCGTTTATGAAGAATGTTGCATCTAAAGTTGGGACCTTATTTTTCACAATTAGTTACTCATTTTACTACAGCTGTAATAAATTATATTTAGCATAAATACACACACCGGAAAAGTCTAGGGATATCATTTTATTAAAGTTAAAAATAAATGTTTTGAATACACAACCAC